GCCGTTTCCAGAATTGGGCATTTTGTCACTCGAGTAAAAATAAAATGTCATGAGTAAAAATTAATCTCTTTATAGTGCAATTCTTAACCTTTTTATATTAATGTCAATATTGGAACAATGTGTCTGGATGTTTTCACTATGTATCTTTGCTATGCAACACCGATGTACATGTTTACATCCGGTTTTAGAATTGCATTATTGATCATGAGTGACGTGAGTAGTAATATTACTCGAGTGATGCCCAACTCTGGCCGTTGCGAGAGACAAATATTTGAATTATGCAATTTTTTGTCTCTGTCGATGCGTGTCACCCAAAATGAGTTCGCGTGTCACCGCTGATACGCGTGTCATAGGTTCACCATCACTGGTATAGTCAGTATAATGTATTCAAGAGTTACTTGCATTAATGTTTTCGTTCTTGTTTTTTTCTTCTTTTGGTATGGCTATATTATTCATTTGAAGTGCATTTGGTTTCATTTGGTTTTGTTTATATTTAGTTTAGTTTTTCCCTCCAGCCTTATTGATTTAATTTTTAATTTTTAATGTATAGAACTTTATTTAGCATGTTTCCAAAAGTTAGAACATACTGGAAAATACACTCTGAATTGTTAATCCCTCTTATTTCTCCCAGTTTGTTTCTTTCCATCCTTTTAGAGGAACCAATTTCTTTGTTTCTGGTTTATGCTTCCTGTGTTTCTTTTTGCATAAATAAGCAAATACAAAAAGATTTTTCCATTTTCCCCTTTTTCTCACATAAAAGATGGCATACTATTTGTAATCTTCTGTACTTTGCCTTTTTTTTTTTCACTTAGCAGTATAGCTTGGAAATTATTCCATAACAATTCCAAGAGATATTCTTCATCTTTTTTCTTTAATAGCATTTAGGCAGTTTTCAGTATTTTTTAATGACAATGCTGGCATAAATAACTGTCATTTAAATGTTAGTCTATTTTTTTTTAACATTGAGATTGGTGTGTTTTTTTATATTTGCCTTGTTTTCTCTTAAATATTTGTGTAAGTTAAACTTAAAAATAATTGTATTTATCTTTTTCAACTTTTACCAGATGACTCTTTTCTCACTAACAGGTAGATTTAGATGTTACTCTCCCTGGGGAAGGTGGAAAAGATCGACCTTTCAAGGTGTCAATCAAGTTTGTCTCTCGGGTGAGTTGGCACCTACTACATGAAGTACTGACAGGACGGACCTTGCCTGAGCCACTGGAATTAGACAAGCCAATCAGCACTAATCCTGTCCATGCCGTTGATGTGGTGCTACGACATCTGCCCTCCATGAAGTGGGTGCTTCTGGCTTTTTTTCATCTTTAGATTTTAAGTATGAAGGCTTTCCTCCCAAGAGTTATGCAGGCCTCCTTTGGTTAATCTTCAGATGTTGTATATTTTGAATATTTCAGTTGAAGAATAGCATGCAGCCCTACCTGGTTTGGCTCAGTGGATAGAGTGTCGGCCTGCGGACCAAAGGATCCTGAGTTCGATTCTGTTTAAGGGCACATGCCTGGGTTGTGGGCTTGATCCCCAGTAGGGGGCATGCAGGAGGCAGCTGATCAATGATTTTCTCTCATCATTGATGTTTCTATCTCTCCCTCTTCCTTCCTCTCTGAAATCAATAAAAAGATATATTTTTAAAAAAAGAATAGCATGCATACAAGTTCATTGATAGATGTAAGTTACAGAAAATTCTCTGACGTTTGAAAATAAATGCACCTTATTAGTTTAGCTATTCTAATGGATATTTTTTTAGAAAAATGTCTAACCCTTTCTCCTAAGAGCTTTAAATCTTGAGCAACTGATGTGTTTTCAGATATAAGGCTATAGTTAAATCACCTTGTTTTAAAGGTAATTTCATTGTTGATACAATAGTATCAAATTGTGTTGAAATTGCTGTTGTTTTAATCACACTAGCATCTCACATGTGTATGTGTGTGTCTGTGCTTATATAGGATCAGATAGGCTGTGTCTTTTTTTTTAATGTTTTTTTATTTTTATTGATTTCAGAGAGGAAGAGAGAGATAGAAACATCAATGAGAGAGAATCTATGATAGGCTGCCTCCTGCACGTCCCTTACTGGGGATTGAGCCCACAACCCAGGCATGTGCGCTTGATCAGAATCAAACCCAGGGCTCTTCAGTCCATAGGCCAACGCTCTATCCACTGAGCCGCACCGGCTAGGGCAGGCTGTGTCTTTTTAAAGAAAAATATTATGTCTTACAAACATGTTTATAGAAATAGCTTTTTGATCAGTAATTATTTAGCATTTTCTAAGATTGGAGCTGTTAACTTTTTAAAATTTATTTTTAAGAAAGTATTTTAAATAAAATTTGTTCTTATTCATACTAACATTAGTTGTAACAATATAGGGTTGCAGTGAAGGATACAGATTTTTTTTCCATTAAAATAGCTGCTTTTTGCTTTTACAAATTTGGAAAATGTTTAGTTTCATATATCCTTAATGATAAGCATGATAATTTATGTGCTCTAGACTCACCTGTTCTTCATATTTAAATACTTATATAGGAAGGAAAGGATTGAACATGCCATTTTAATTTTTGTAGATATACACCTGTGGGGCGTTCATTTTTCTCGGCTCCAGAAGGATATGACCACCCTCTGGGAGGGGGCAGGGAGGTATGGTTTGGATTCCATCAATCTGTTCGTCCTGCCATGTGGAAAATGATGCTTAATATTGATGGTAAGGGAATAAAACCATATTCTGTATTGGATAATTGATTTCTGTATGGCCTGCTTGTGTGTTTAATGTGCATATGTGCATTTTATGTATAATTATATGTACTATGTCTTGAAGTAATATTTGGACTTATATTAAGACAAAATAGAAAATCTTTATATTTATATTACATTTCATTCAGAAAGCCTTTACACAGAACTTGTCCTGGTTTGCTACTAAAGTAAATTTAACCCTTTGAGTGCCAACCAATATCCTAGGAACTATGCTAAAATTGCCAAGGCATTTTGAGTTAAGGTTTGTAATTTTTTTCTCCCACATAAAGAGAACTACTAGCATCTAATAGTGACACTGCAGGAGGAGCACAATAGTGATAGCGCTCCCAGCACTTTTGGCGAAAGACAGGAGGAGCGCGATCGCGCTCCCCGGCTCTCTAGGGGTTAAAAGCTTTGACATGATCATCTGAGCAATCTTCTATTATAAATCACTTTTGTCCTTTTAAATCTAAGTCAATATTTAATTACAAAATACATATTTTACAGGAAGAGAAGTCTATTAGTCATGGTCACCCCTGGCATTATACCTACTACTGATGCTTAATGTGGTGCTACTTGCATTAATATTTAGGTGTTTTTTTTATTTTTGAACTTATAAAAAAGAAGAGAGAATAGTATGAGAAACTGCCACCTATGTAGTCATTATCCAAATTGTCAGTATTTTTCTACCTTTGCTTAAACTATCTCCATTTCTTCCTTTACTGTAGTGTCTTTAAGTAAAATCCCAGACAGAATATTATTTTGTCCCTACTAATTCAGTATGTATCTCTAAAAACATGGATGTTTTCTTACTCAGTCACAATGCCGTTATCATATATAAGAAAATTGAAAATAATAATTTATTTGTAGCCTCTAATACCCTGTCTAAACTCAGATTTCCCTGATTGTTTCAAATATATTTTTATAGTTATTGGTTCTAATCAGAATCCAAATAAGATTCACACATTACATTAGGCTTTATGCCTATTTTATCTATTTATTTTATTTTATTTATTTTTAAATATATTTTTATTGATTTCAGGGAGGAAGGTGAGAGAGAGAGAAAGAGATAGAAACATCAATGATGAGAAAGAATCACTGATCAGCTGCCTCCTTCCTGCACGCCCCACACTGCAGATCCAGCCTGCAACCCGGGCTGAATTGAACCCAAGACTCTTCAGTCTGCAGGCTGGTGCTCTATCCACCGAGCCAAACCAGCTAGGGTGACTAAGCTGTTTTTTATCCATCTTCTCAATATTTCAGTTTTTCATTATTAAATATACAGTTTCTAACCTGGCCGGCATGGCTCAGTGGTTGAGCGTGGACCTATGAACCAGGAGGTGGTGGTTCGATTCCAGTCAAGGGCACATGCCCAAGTTGCGGGCCGGATCCCCAGTAAGGGGCGTGCAGGAGGCAGCCGATCAATGATTCTCTCTCATCGATGTTTTTTCTATGCCTTTTTAAAATGTAGTAGTCCCGTTTCCTTCCCTCTTGTTTTATTTTGTCTGTTGTTTGTTTGTTTTTTAGTTGTTTTTTCCCCCATCTTTTGTTTGTTTGTTTTTTGTTGTTTTTTTGTTGTTGTTTGCTATTGTCTTGTTGTCAGGTGTCCTGTAGAATATCCAGAAACCTGGATTTGTCTTTTGTTTACTTGTGGTGTGATTATTTTGTTCCTCTGTTCCCTATATTTCCTTAAAATGAAAGTTGGCCCTTGAGGCTTGATTCAATTCTGGTTCAAAATACTTTATAAATTTATAAGTGCTTTATATTGTATCAGTATTTAGTGGTCCCAGTTTTTTGATAATACAATAGGCCTGATCTCTCCATTAAAATTTCCCAATCAGCCTTTCAATTTCTAATATTCCATTCATTGATCATTGTTACCTGAACTATTTATTTCACTAGGCACTATCAACTGATATTTTTTCTAATTCTGTTATTCCTTTTGTATTAGATGGAATTCTTTTTTTTTTTTTTTAATATATTTTATTTGTTTTTTTTACAGAGAGGAAGGGAGAGGGATAGAGAGCCAGAAACAACAATCAGAGAAACATCGATCAGCTGCCTCCTGCACACTCCCCACTGGGGATGTGCCCGCAACCAAGGTACATGCCCTCGACCGGAATCGAACCTGGGACCTTTGAGTCCGCAGGCTGACGCTCTATCCACTGAGCCAAACCGGTTAGGGCTAGATGGAACTCTTATGTGGAAAATCATAATGTCCTATTGCTAATTCATTAGTCTTTGATAGCTTTCTGGCACAGCAGGATGTTCCAGGCTCATATTATATTTCTTACCCTGTACCTAGAATCAGCCATTCCTCCAAGGATCCCTGGTTCTTTCTAGATCAGTACATAGTTTCCTCATTATTTTCAGCTGCATCTGCCATTATGGAGATATGTCATTGAGGGGATATATTTCAAGAGTCCCCTTTAATTATATGCCATTTCAGAACATCATTTCAAATATATATATAGGTGTTTTTTTTAAGATAGATTCCAGGAGTGAGATTGATGAGTCAAGGGCAAATGTATTTGTAATTTTTATTGTTATCGCCAGATTGCCCTCTACCAAGATTGTAAATACTTACTTTGCATCAGTGATTGAGACTACCTATTTCCTTACGCCTTTGCCTCTACAGGTGTCAAACTAGATTTTTGTCAATCAGATTTACAAGAAATAGTTTCACTATGTGCTTTTGTTTTCCATTTGAACATTTTCACATATGTAAGGGCCACATTTCTTTTTCTGTTAACTGTTTGTATCCTTCGCCCTTTTTTTTCTATTGGATGTTTGATCTCCTCATTTACTGAGCTTTCTCAATTGAGATGTGAATTACAGATGATATCTCTTCATTGTTACTTGTCTTTTGGCCTTTGTCTTGGGTTTTTTTGCTTTTTGCCACATAGAAATTTATCCGTGCGGGCGCGCGCGCATGTGTGTGTGCGTCTGTCTATATACACAAACGCTTAAAAGTAGTGATCAATAATTTCTTTTATGACTTTTAATATCTAATAGCACTAGTCTCATTTTTTTTTCAGGTTTTTCTAGGCCATTTTTATTTATTACCATATAAGCTTTAGAAACACCTTGTCTAGATCCAATAGATGTGGAGGATGGGGTATTATTTTTACTGAGATCTCATATTTATAAATTAAGTTAGGACATATTGGGGTTTTTTTAAATATTGAAACTTTCTGTCAAATGAAATGGTATGTTATTGCATTTGTTCAAGATTACTTTTGTTTTCTTCAGGAATGTATTAAAGTTTTTCTCACATAAAATTTGTACATTTCTTGTTATTTCTGGACATTTACCCCCTTATTTTTGCTACTAAATGAGTTTATAGATTCTAACTGGTTATTGTTTATATACATGAAGGCTTTTAAGTTCTATATACTGACATTTCTCTCTGCCTTATTGAATTCCATTATTGTTTATAGTAGTTTTTTAAGTGACTTTCCTAGTTTCTAGGTTATAATCATTTTATCTGCTGATAGTGATAGGTTTACCTCTTCCTTTGGATTTTTATACTTCTCCTTCAGGTTACACTGACTAAATATTTAGACAGGACAATTTAAACATTAGTGATTAGTGGGCATCCTCTTTTTATTCCTGACTTTAGAAAGAATACTTCCAAAGTTTCTGCATTAAGTATAATGCATACATGTATGTATGTATAGGAGGATCTGTTGCTTCCTATTAAGTAGGAATGGATATTGAATTTTCTCAGATGTCATTTTAGCACTAATGGAGCTGATGATATGGTGTTTCTCTTATTTTAAAGAAGCATTGAACCAAACTAATGTTTCTGGATTCTTTTAATGTGATGCTGAATTCTGTTTATTAATACTTTATCCTTTTAATTAAAATGCAAAATTGTAAAGATGGATCTTCTCTTTTTTTGTGTAGTCTTTTTCAAGTTTTGCTATTGTTATATTTTATAAAGAATTTGGACCTTTTTCATTTTTTAAAATGTACAACAGTTTTTAAATAGTATTGAAGTTAACAGCTCTTTAAAGATTTAGTAGAAATCCCCTGTATACTCTTGTGGCCTATATGTTTTGCTTTGTTTGGTAGGTAGCTCTTTTAAAATTTCTTCCATTTATTTTATGAAAATCAGTCTGTGTAGGCTTTTGGTTCTGTTTTGGTAAGTTATATCTTACTAGAAAATTATCTTATCTATATTTATTTGTATAGAGTTTTATAAATTAATTTCCTATTTTTTGAAATTTTGTCTATTTCTGTTGTTTACCCCCATTTCTTTTTTTTTTTTTTAATATATTTTATTGATTTTTTACAGAGAGAAAGGGAGAAGGAAAGAGAGCTAGAAACATTGATCAGCTGCCTCCTGCACACCTCCTACTGGGGATGTGCCCGCAACCAAGGTACATGCCCTTGACCGGAATCGAACCTGGGGCCCTTCAGTCCGCAGGCCGATGCTCTATCCACTGAGCCAAACCAGTTAGGGCTCATTTCTTATTTTGTATATTTGTACTTTGTCCTTAATTTTACTCTTGATTAGGAGAAGGAGTAGTTTTAATCAGTTGATTTTTCCCCCCACCAGCAAGAACTTTGGAAACTTTTTTTCAGTTTTTTGGCTTTTTTTTTTTTAACATTCTTAATTTCTACTTTTAACTCTATATTTTTTCCCTCTACTTTACTTCAGTTAATTTAGTTGTTTTTGTAATTTTTAGAGCTATATTAGTAACTCACTTACATTCATTTTTTTCTTATTGATAAAAGTATGTAAAATAATACATTTTCTTCTGATCACTGTTTTAGCTTTATTCCAAACACCACAGATTTTATTTGTATTTGCCCAATTACCTAAATGTTTTTTGAGAGACTTTTTAAATTTTCAGATTGAAGATCTCTTTATTTTCTGATTTGTTACAAATTTCTCATTTTATTGTGTTGTTACTCAGAATGTGTTTTGTAATTTCAAATTTTAGAATTTGTTGAGGTATTTTC